GACTTGACCTGCATATTCCTATCGTGTACAACCCAAATGTAAGTGATTGTAATTATATTTTGGTCGTAGTTTTGAAAATCGCAAAGAGCCCCAGTTTTTGTTACTGCTTCTGTTTTGTCTTCATTTTTTTTTTGTTTTTTGGGGCTGGTACCTCCCTAGGCCCTTGGGTTTGGGTTTCAAAAGGATTTCCTTTGTGGATGATTACAAGAGAATTTCTTGTGTGGCGGATTACAGAGAGAGAGAGAGAGCGAAAAAACTCTACATGATAATGAGAATCACAAATTGTGTGAAGCCTCGAAAACGCTTACACGAGCCTTGTTCCAGGGGGCGGAGATACAACCCTTACCCCCCCCCCCCTTACCCTACCCACCCCCCATCCTTGCTTCTTGTAATTAAACACCCCCACATCCCCACCGAGCCGGCCGATGGCAACCCCGCCGTCCTAATTGACAAAAAACAATACAAACTCAATTTGTGTCTCGCCAACATGTCGTCGAGTTGCGAAAAGTGCAGAAGGAAAGGGACGGAATAAACATCGCTTGGGTAACCATTAGCGGGTGGTCACGTCCTTCCCATCAGAAAATAATTTAAAGTCAACGTTATTCTCGTCAACTTGGACTTTCTTGTCGTCGACGCTGCGAAAGGTGCAGCAGGAATCGGACGCGGCGCACATCACGCGCGGACGCCTGGCCAACCCTACGCGGGACCCCCCGTCCTACCTGTCAAAAAACACAGCCATGTCGACGTTTTTCTCGCCAACATGTATTTTCTCCTCGTCGGCGCTGCGAATCGCGTAGCGAGAATGGGACGCGGCGCACATCGCGCAGGGACGCCTGCTCGTCAACATGAATTTTCTTGTCGTCGATGCTGCGGCCCGTCGGGTTGAGGAGCTGGGCGCGGCGTACATCGCGCGCGGTCCTGTTTCTCGTCGACGTTGCTCAATACGCGGCAAGAATAGGACGCAGCTCATGTCGTGCGCTGAACGTCTAGCCGCTCACGATATAAGATGAGCGACAGGCGTCGGACACGACGCGCTTGCTTCTTATGTTGCGGGAGGGCGGGTGGGAGTGGACGGACGGAGCCCTCTGGCTCGTTCGAGCTGGCTAACTTGACCCCACCCTCCACCCCCTCCCCCACCCCCACCCCGCCCCCCACCCGTCGGTGAAGGGATCAAGGGGAACGGGCTTCCCTTCGACTCAATTACGACGCTGCTCAATTTGAGGTGGGAGACGGCGACGGTTTGAGGTGGGAAACGGCGACGGCCGTCAGACGGCGACGACAACGGGGAGGGGAGCCGCGAGGGGGACAACAACCATTGCGAACAGCAACGGGGCGGGAGCAGCGATGGAGGCAACAACCACGAAAAACAGCCCATTTCACACGCCGACAGGGTCGGCGGATTTCTGTCCCGCGGGGGTCATTTGGTGTTCAAGGTTCGAGGTTTTCGGATGTGACGTTGCCGTCGGTTCTCAGCGGTTTTGCACGCTCGGCGTGTTGGACGGCTGCGCCTCGCCGAGGGCGTCCCTGGGGGGCGCCACTTGTCCCGACGGGCAGCCGGAGGCCCGAATCATGGCCCGAGGGTTACCGATTCTCACAGACCTCCGACGCATTTGTAAAAGACAAGGCGGAGGTCGTTTGCAGCTTTCGGCCCAGTGGGGCCCTCGCCAAGCCCTGGGGCCGTCCAAAAGGAATCGAGACGGAAAGCAAGCTTCGGTGGTCCAGGAGCAATTCCGAGGGGTGCCACATGGAAGTCTCCGAGACAATCTTGGACCTATTCTTGGCGCCCCTGCTTTGGTCCAAGCAACCCAATATGCGTGCTGGACGAGTTGGCTTGTCTGGGGGCCCGAAGACACTTCCAAAGCCTTCGCAGAGGCCTCCATGGGACTTTCGCAGGTTTTCGGAGGAGGGGAGGCCACGACATGTTCTTGGCATCGTTCGGACGTGCGCATTTTATCCCGGCAAGGACCATCGAGGAGCATCATGGATCATCTACAAAACAAACACGCACGAAACCGAAACATACAGAATGGACGTCCGAGCAATGGCAAGTTTCCGCCACGAGCACACAGTACGCATGGCCGGCGTTTCCCGGGTCCCGTGTCCTGCGGGCCTCTGGAGCCCCATCTCGGATCCCAGGACGGTCACAAAAAAACAATTCGGGAGGTCTAACAATAACCATTCCCGGGATGGGGTCGAGAGGTTCGGAGGCTTGTCCCGAACAAAAACATGACGTCGGATGTTGGGGATGGGGTCGGAGGATCGCACCGCATTGCCGAAGCATCGGCTATGCGGCGCGATCCGGGGCTGGAGCTTCTCCATCCCGACGGCCCGCGGGGTGTGGTTCTCCATCATCTGCGCCTCGTCGAGGGCCCTACGGGAAGCCCAGACTCCCCGCGAAACGCCGCCCGGGGCCCGAGTCACGACCCGAGGAGGGTGGAGGAGGACCCATCACGTCCAGGCGCCGTGGAGGAGGACCCATCACGTCCAGGCGCCGTGGAAGAAAGAAGTGCATCTTGCACTTCCCCTTCTGGAACTCCGAGGCCCTCACGGGCCGATCTGGCCTGAGACGTGCCTCACGGGTCGAAGGCGAGTCCGGGGGGGCAAGTGAAAAGAGGCAGGCCCAATGAGAAGGCTCGGAAGCCCCCCGGCCTTCCGAGAAGTTTTCTGAGCCGTCCCCGAAGATACAAAAAGCCTTTCAGAAGGCGGGAGGGCTTCTGATCGGAAATTGGAACATATACATTACCAGTGGCGGGCTGTTTTTCAATCCCAGGACTTTTCGAGGGTCTGGGACGACGATGGGGTGGTGTGATGTATACTTGTTTCCCCGATGCCCCAGGGAAACAGCGAAAAATGTATACACCAGGGTCCCGTATACACCAGGATTCGCTCTCCAGGGCAAGTTTCAATGCAGGGCCGGAAAATGCGTCGGTGTATAGAGTTCGATTCCCTATCTGAGAAGCCTCGCCGCCTTTGAGAAGGCCTTCGCCTTCTCACTATCCCCCCCCCGCTCGCCGCCGAGGGGAGTGCTTCACAAGGGTGGGATCGAGATCTCCAGCCGTGCCCTCCGCGCCGCGGTGTCCTGCTGCCCCGGAGTCGCGGATCCCAGCCGAGAGGGCTTTGCAGGCCGAGCCGCGCGGCAGCGGGCGCTTTCGAGTTGGCTCCCAGGCTGCAGCGGGCAGAAGACCAGAGGATCATCACAGGGCATCCTGGCATCACTCGGACGTGTGCATTATTTCTCGGCGAGGGCCATCGAGGAGCATCCTGGTTCATATTCCGAAATAGCACACGCACGAAACCGGGAAAATGCACAGGGAATGGACGTCCGAGCGATGGCGAGGCATGCCTCTGGCGGGTGGTCCAAGAGGATCATCACAGGGCATGGCTCGGGCGGGTGGTTCAGGATCGGGATAAATCGCTCGCGGGCGATCCAGAACGCTCTCAGAGCGTTCCCGAACGCGTTGAGAAGGCCGCGGCACCCGACATAATTATCCCTCAGAATTGCCGGATCTCAGGGGTCCCCAAATTGTTTCGGGCGGGTGGTAATGGGGGGTGACTTGAATGGGGGGTGAAGACAAGGGCCCAGGGCCCAAACGAGGCCCTTGAGGCCCCCTGCTGGCTTCAAGAGGGGCCCTAAAGGGCCCATTCGGGGCCCTTCTCTTCACCCCTCCCTTCACGTCACCCCCATTGCCACCCGCCCGGGTGGCGGCCACGGCTCCGTACAGGCGCAGTGGATTCGCACCCCCTTGCTGTGGTCAGATTCTCCGCCCTCGCGGCCAGCCTCTCCTCCCTCGCGGCAGCTTTCTCTGGGCTGCGCGCGGAGCGGGTCGGGACGACAGTTGGGGGGGGGATTCCTGACCGGGAGCGGGAGGCTCCTGACAAGCCCTCCTGCCTTCAAGAAGCCCAGTTTCGGAAGCCTCCGGGCGGCCCTTCCAAGGAGCCCCCTGCCTTCTTGGAGGGGCGCCCCGCCCTCGCCCAAACCCCCGACCAGGATTCTCCGAAAAGGCGGCCTCCCCGGCGCAGAATCAACTGCACACACAGACTGTCGGCGATCCGTGCGGACTTCTCGGATCGGCGCTGGGGCGCCCCTGGCGGCGCTTCCGGCGCCACCCGTGGCGCGCTCCGCGCCCCAGGGGCGGGCGGGGGGTGGCCAGCGCCGATCCAAGAAGTCCGCGCGGCCCTCCGAGAGGTTGTGCTTACGCCCTTTCTTGCTCCTCCAATCCATGCTTGCACGTTTTTGGGGCCGCGCCCCGCTGCGGCGACCCCCCGCCCCGAGACAAGGGACGGACTCGGCCAGGCGAAATTGAGACTAAGCCAGGATGGATTCTGCCACCTGAACTCGGCCAGGCTGAACTCGGCTCAGGCCTAATTCAGCGTGGCCGAGTTCAGCCTGGCCGAGGTCAGCCAGCCGAGTTTAGCCTGGCCGAGCTTAGCCTGGGCGATTTGTTCCCAGCCGAGCTTAGTTGTCCCCCCCTCGAAGGCCAAGGAACGGTGAGAACGAGCAGGGTGGGCCCCCACCCGCTTCTTGCGCGACGCTGGCTCTTGCTCGGCCCCTCTCCTGCCCCACCGAGCAGCTGGGTGAGCCTCTCCTTCGGATCGGGCCCCGCGTTTGGGAGGTGTTCCTCCTCCTCCTCCTACTCCTCCTCCTCCTCCTCCTCACCCTCCTCCTCCTCCTCTCTTAAGTTGTTATGTGTCTCGCATTACATGTGCCCAGACACGCCAGAATCCAGAGGCAATGACCGCAACCACCTGGTCTGAGCTAGGCCCGGACGCTTTGGTAGCAAATCATGGGACACTTGCATGTCCTCAGAATTCCGTCTTTGAAGTGCATTAGCATTCGATGGCGTGCGAAAATGTATGAAAAAGCCTCGACGCGCGTCGGTTTAGCGTCGATTGGCGTCGGTTCGTAAGAGCCAGCAAGATGGCATGGGAGGCTCCCATGAGCATTCACCGAACTTGTCCGCAGCGGTGGTCGATCGATCGTTCACTCCCGCGCTCGGGAGGTGCTCGTCGTGAAGGGGAACCCCAAGTTCGGCGACTACCAGTGCAACAACGCGATGGGGCTCTTCAAGGAGGGGCCGCGCCGGCGAGGAGGATCGAGGAGCTCCATCTCTGGGCGTCCTTGAGAGGGGGCCACATGCGAACCCTACCCCTACCCCCTCACGATTTCTGAGGGGGAGGATGGGGTTCACTTCGTTCACTTCGTTCGGGAGCTCCCGAGCGAAGTGAACCCCACCCTCCCCCTCAGAAACCGCGGGGGGTAGGGGTAGGCCGGGTAGGGTTCGCATGTGGCCCCCTACTTGGGGCCCACCTGGGGGCCTCCCGGAGGTGGTCGGGCCTCGGGAGGAGGGTGGGGGGGCACCGCACCCGGAGGGCGACTCCCACGGGTGGCCTGGATCTTGAGGGGAGGTGGCGCTTTCCCAGCCACACGTGCCCCTTGAAAGGGGCACCGCGCATGAAATTGTAGCATGCGACCCCGAGGCAGCAAGGACTTGCAGGTGCGGGGATCCTTTCTCGGCGACGTAGAGGTTTCTCGTCGCGGCGATCCTTTCGGCGACGTGGAGCTTCGTCGCCAAGGCCGGATCCCCCTCGAAATCCTAGTCAGCCTCGGCCTCCGAGGTAGCACCAGCCCGCAGGGGCGGCGATCCTTTCGGCGACGTGGAGCTTCGTCGCCAAGGCCGGATCCCACTCGAAATCCTAGTCAGCTTCGGCCTCCGAGGTAGCACCAGCCCGCAGGGGCGGCGATCCTTTCGGCGACGTGGAGCTTCGTCGCCAAGGCTGGATCCCCCTCGAAATCCTCGTAAAGACGCAGCCTGGCAGAAGTCCACGGACCAATGGTCGACCTCCCGGACCCCAGGCCCGGACCTCTGGCGCCTCGGACAGCGCGCCAGAGGATCTGCGCCATCCCTGGCATTTGAAATGAGCGTCGGCGGCGAGCCCAAGGGGGGGGAGGTGAGAAGGAGAAGGCCTGCTCAGAAGGTTCGGAAGTTCCCTGGCCTTTGAAGTTTTCGAAGCCTTCCCCGAAGACCTCTCAGAAGGCTGGAGGCCTTTGAGAAGTCCGGCCGCCTTCCAAGAAGGCCTTCTCCTTCTAACATCCCCCCTCGCTCGCCGCCGAGAGAGCAGGAGGATCAAACGCATACAGGGCCCTGAGATCCAGGCGCTGCAGTTGTTTCGCGCTGGGCGTGTTCGCCCGGCTTCGGGCCCAGGGACCATCACACACAACGGTCGAGCTCGAAAAGTGCCGCAGAAAGATGGGGTCTAGGGCTAGGACGGGGCCAGGACGAGGATGAATCCGTTCCAGGGCGTTCTAGAACGCTCTCAGAGCGTTCCGGAACGCTCTGAGAAGGCCGCAGCGCCCGATACATCCTCCAGAGCCGGCGGATCTCAGAGATTCTCTATCTATCTTCACCTCGTCCTGGCTCCAGTCGTGAATTGTCGCAAGGTCGCAAGTTTCTAGCAGCGTCGGAGCTCAGGGGAGGTCGAGGGCTCGAGATCCGCGCGCGGCGCTCCGAAGTTTGTGTCCGCGCAGTCGTTCGGTCCTCCGGCATTGGGACCCGTCTCCGCTCAGAGCAGCGAGGTGGGCACGGTAGGGTCACGCGGCGTTGGCGCGCCGGGGAAGGCGTTGAAGGTTGAATTCTGCGACGCAGAAGCATCGATGGGTACGGTAACGCCACTGGACGCGGCACCGCCATCGGTTCAAGGTGGAACGATCGGCGCAGTGAAAAATGTGTGCGCGCCGACGTTGCACGAGCCTGCCATAGCATGGTCTGTGAAGTTGTCTGAGCGCGTGCGGGTCCTAGGTTTCCAGCTCCAGATCCCACAGGGAGGTGCATCCCTGGAGTCTCCATGGGTTGTAGGAGGAGAAAGCTCCGGAGGAGAGAGGAGTCCAAGGGAGCAGGAGAGAGAGGCGCAGATATTGATGCTGGGGTTTTACGGGGAGGGAAGAGCCGAGCCGCGAACGACGGATGTAGGGTTTGGTGTCTTGTGGAGGGATCGGCGCGAGGATTCGAAATGTTGACGTTTCGCGTACCCCTCCCAGCCCATCCAGAATCGATGCCCAGGCAAGTTGTTTTGATGAGGAAGGCGTTGCAACAATCAGCGAATCGAAAGGGGGGTAGCCGTCGAAACGAAGCGCGGCATCAGCCTGAGAAGGTCCACATCAGCTTGCACCATACGCACGATGCACCACACATCATAGTGCACATCGAGATAGCACGTACCCAATGTTTGGGTCCACGATTGCAAGCATCCTGCAGAAGCCCACCCCGTCCTCCTCGACCATCTAAAACCCGATAGTGCCTTGAACATTTAAACCCTCCTAAAACTCCGCATGAACCTTCCAGGACCCTCCAGAAGCCCCTATGTCTCTCCGCCCCCTCCAGTCTCCTCCATCCCTGGGACCCGAAGCCTTACCAACATGTGGTACGGCGTCGACGCGGACCAGAGGGAAGATTGGCGGGACCCCTCTGATGGTCCACCGCCGTCCTCCTTGGGAGGCGTTAC